GATGGGAAAAACAAACAAATGAAGAAACAAAAACAAGGGCCAGCCAGGCAGCCTGGTGCTGAAGACGACTGGACCCCATGTGGCCAGGGGCACAGTTAGAGTCCCAGACCTGGTGGCTTGGGACCACTCTGGGCACGTGTGCATGTGCACCCAAAATCCTGAGAGGACAATGGAGAAGGGATTGCAGCGTGGCCACCCACCCTGCGGTGATTTCTCACTTTCTTTCTCTCTCTCTGTCTCTCTCCAGTAAGTGTACAAGTCCCATAACAAAAAACTTAAAAACAAAAAGTGTAAGTAGGAGAAGAGGTACCGTGCAAAACATAGATAGGAAATGCACTGAAAGCCCGCTTGGTAGACAAAGCAGATACATTTTTTTTCTTTGAAAAGAAAAGATCAAGGGTAAAATCAAGTCCTTTATGCAAATGCTGGTCGTATGAATTATAATGAATATTTCGGATTATAACTCAGAGAGAATACCACTTGACTTATGTTAATTCAACATATTACAAATATTGACTTTGAATGGTAAAGATATTCTGCAAGAAACTAGACAATACTCCGAAACAGCTCACTAAATCTTTCTCGAAATGAGCCAAAATACTTAGACATTGATGTGCTGCTTGAACTTAAATCAGAAATGGCTCACTTGGTTTTCGGAGAAGGTGGGTTCCAGTGTTCTGTACGGGGAGTCCCAGCATCCTGGACGTTATAAAGCATTCTCTAAGCTCCGTCCGCGTCCCCTGGGCAAACCTTCAGAGTCTCTGGTATCCGGATGATTGACGCCTCAGGTGGAGTCTATAGACACAGACACCCAGAAGGCAGAGCCCAGCCACGACGGCCCCAATCACAGGAAGCACAACTGTGTAGTCAGACGAACACTCGTCCACTGAGAGAAAAAGCAAACACAACACAGCAGGTGAGGTGTGGTGACGACAGGCCAGAAAGCGACTAGCCGGGAAACAGCGTGAGCTTGGCGGTCGAGCACATCCAGCCTTGACTTTTCATTCGCCATTAACGAGCTGTGCGACCTTGGTGGGCAATGTACCCTTGCCACGTGCTCCCTTGTAAAGTAAGCGCGTATGTACGATTGTCAGGCGTTAAATAAGATAGCTTTCTTATCTCCTCAGCTGTTAATATTCAGTAGCTCTGATCACTATTCCTGAGCAGAGCGAGGCATTGTCCTAGGTATGTCCTCTGCAAAGTGGGACGTGCCTATGTAGGAGAGGATTTTGCAAATGATATCTTGAAAATGTGTGATGTTTATCCACTTAATAAAACATTGTTGTAGGGACCAGCAGTTGGCATAATGGCTATATTGCTGGACTCCCATGTAGTCGACCGCAGTTCGCGTCCCGGACCCGGTGGCTTAAACTCACGCCAGGTGCATGTGCGTGCGTGCCCAAGATCCCGAGAGGAGAGTGGAGGAGAAGGGATTGCGGCGTGGCCATTCCCCCTAGGGGTGATTTCTCGCTTTCTATCTCTCTGTCTTTCTCTATGTTTCTGACGAGAGTATGCGCCCTATAGCAAAAACCTCTCAAAACAAAACAAAAAAAATAGCTTCCATGTCTAGTAACTGCCTTATAATCAATGTTAATGTTCTGCTTTTCTAGGTGGTTTTCTTTTCATTTCTTTCCACAAGGCCTAAAGAACTTTTATCTTTGAAGTTCTACAGCTTATTTCAGATATGCATCGGGTTTATCTGCATTGTCTGCGAGTATCCCGGTCGTCCTAAGAGCACGACTTATCTGTTCCGTCTCTCACTGTCTCTGTACAGTACTGTATACAGTGGCATTGCTTTGATATTCCACTTGTTTTCTTGAGAATGGAATCTTTCCTCTTACTCTCGTTTTAGCGTCCCCTCTCTGAACTCTGCTTACATGGAGTTCACATTCTCGTGGAGTGATTCTCAGCACGAAGCCATCATCAGGGATTTCCTGCGGTACCCTGAGTGGTGTTTTCTTGGTACGTTACCAACCATGTTTGTCTGTACCCTTCTGTTAAGGGCTAAATTGTGTCCTGTCCCCTGCCCCCTTGGCCCTAACTCCCAGGATTATTAGGATATAGGCTTTTTAAAGAGGTGATTATGGTAAAATACGGTAATCAGAGTGGGCCCTAACCCGGTATGAATAGGGTCCTTCTGAGAACAGAACATTTGGCTCCAGATAGGTGTGTGTGGGAGGGAGGGCGTGGGAGGACACAAGCCGTCTTTTACAAGAAGAGAAGCTTCTGCAGGAGCCGCTGACACACCTTCTCTTAGATCTCTGGCGTCCAAAAGTGTGAGGAGATCCGGTTCTGGGTTTTAAGGCATCTAGCCTGTGGGACTTCATTATGGCATTCTCAGCCAGCTAGGAACCCGCCCCCCTGAATCTGATGTCCCAGTGTTGCTGTCCTGTTCTGCGCTGTCTGCACAGCCGCCATGCACTCTGCTCCTCTCCGCACGCTGGGGCACGTCCGTCCAGAAACTCGGCCTCTGTGGCTCCAGCCGGCTGAGCTACCCTCTTCCTCTGACTTTCCTGAGGTCAGTTAGTGCTTCTTCTTGGACTAGATATTGGAGCCCTGCCCTCTTTGTCTCAGTAGGGATGACAGCTACCACTCGGAGGTATTCCCTGCCTCGGGGGCCATGCCCAGGTGACTCCCCTCAGACCCTACGCCTCTTCTTTCTAGTCTTTCCAGAAGCCTTCCTCGTTATTCTGGGTTGGAAAAGAAAGAAGCCAAAGGTTTTCTCCTCCAGATTTAGGGGTGAAATAAGAGCTCCCAGAGTCTGTCCTCTCCTCCTGAACTTCTTAGGGTTGGTGTGTGGGGGGGACACCCTCCCCAGCAGAAGGTGGGAGAACTGGGAGGACTCAGCACACCTGCGTCTCTAGGCCCCCGTCATTCAGACGGAGCTTTGCCCTCTGTGGCCACTAGAATGTTCATCCGAGTGAAGTTTAAGGGTAACTGGGGTGGGGCGGGGACTAGACAACAGGAGTCTGAGCAGCAGTTCACCCCGAATCACTCGTGGACGACGGCAGGAAGGAAAGCTAAGTTTAGTGACCCACCCAACCCCTCTGCTCGGTTTTCAGCTCTGCTTCGTGTTCCCCGTTACCACCGGGGGAGAAAGGTCCCCCGACCGGAAGAGCCAGCTTCCTCTAGTCATTCGGCAGATGGGCAGTGCCAGGAGCACACCGCCTGCTGCACCCTAGAACTTCCCAAGTGCTCTTCACGGAGGCCACTGGGAGTCTGGAGCGAGTGCTCCTTAGAGGGAAGAGGTGGGAAGAGACGGCATCGCTTCAAAGTCAAGCCCTCACTGTTAAACTGAGTGCTCTGGGGAACACTGGGTCCTCACATCCCGAATTCCAGTCCACACCTCCTGTTTTAAGGGGAAACAGGCATTTCCTGCCACTCCAGAACACTCAGGGGCTCTTCACTGCTCTCTTGAGGCCACCTGTGCCCGGCCACCTCCTCCCTCCTGAGAGTGGAGAGAGCTAGCCCACCCCCGGGGAGGCAGAACACTTGTTAGATAAGCGGTAGTGACACAGCCCTGGCCAGATTCCACAAGCTTCCTCCTAGACGCAGTGAAGGGCACTTCTGGGACCGTGGCAGAGCGAGACAGCTTCCAGTTAGATCAGTTAAGGACAACGGGAAGGTGACTTCTCTCCCTTTTCTCGGAACTGAAATCTCCGGTTCTCATAGGTAACGTCAGCGTGATAGGAAGCCATGGGCAGCGTCATCAGCCATGCCTTCCTGTCCAGGTATCGACCACTCCTCGTTAGGCGTTTACTGGCTTATCATTGGTTTTTGGTGAATGTTTGCAGAAACAGGAAAGCAGTCTTAATCCGGGTAGAGCTACCTCTCCCTGCTCGCCGTTTCTGATTAATGCCCAATATACCTGCAATGGTTTTAGTGAACACGTTTACAAGGACAGAAAAGCATCAAAGAAAAAACAGGAAAACAGTATTAAGAAGGTAGAAAATAAATGAAGTTGAAGGAATTGGAGCACTAATATTTATTGAGCTTTTTTTTTTTGAGATCTTTGGTATGTGCTTTATATGAAAAAAGTGAGCTGTCAGACAGTTTTCTTTTTTTTTTACTAATAATACAGAATAATAGCGTAACATGTCTTTTTAAAAATGACAGTGTCGTAAGTTCATTTATAATTTATGTAAATCAAACTTCGATTCTAATCCAGGAGTTTAAAGTCACTTTCTGATATGTTTTTGAAGTGCATTGGTTTTATTTTAGTTTTTAGAGAGATTTTTGCTATGGGGCAGGTATGCTCGCTGGAGAGACTGGAAGAGATAGAGAGACAGAGAGCAAGAAATCACCCTCCCCCAGGGGGACGGCCTTGCCACACTCCTTTCTTCTCTCAGGATTTTGAGGATGCACGCACACACGCCTGGTGTGAGTTTTAAGCTGCTGGGTAGGGGACTCGAACTGTGGTTGACCACGGGAATGGGAGTGGGAATCCAGCAATGTAAACATTATGCTGTGCTGGTCTTGTGAATTGGTTCAATTAAAGTAACTTTTTTTCTTTTTAGTTTTTCTGCTATAGGGTGTGGTGCTTGCCAGAGACAGAGAGGAAAGTGAGAAATCTGCCCCCGGGGGGATGGCCATACCACAGTCCCTTCTCCTTCATCCTTCTCTTGGGACTTTGGGCACACACATACACGTGCCAAACATGTTTTCCAAGCTGGGTCCGAGACTCAAATGCGCAATCAGCTATGAAGAGTCCTGCTGCTTTAACACCATACTACCTGGCTGTCCCTAAAGTAACATTGTTTTTTTTTTTTTAAAAAAAAGCCCTTAGTGGGACCATCATATGGCGTAATGGCTATGTCACTGGACTCCCGTGTAGTTGACTGCAGTTCGAATCCTGGACCCGGTGGCTTAAACTCACGCCGGGCGCGTGTGTGTGCGTGCCCAAGATCCTGAGAGGAGAATGGAGGAGATGGGATTGCAGCGTGGCCATCCCCCCTGGGGGGTGATTTCTCGCTTTCTGTCTCTCTGTCTCTCTGTCTTTCTGGCGAGCGTATGCGCCCTATAGCAAAAACCTCTCCAAAAATAAAAACCCTGGAACAGTGGTAGTATGCTACTCAAAAGAAGTCAGGTCCCACATGGTGATCTTGGTTCGAGTCCCCGGCCCACTAGCCTGAAAGACGCATAGGGTGCGCCACACACGGCCCAGATCAGCTTAGGACTGGCGGACAGGGACTGTGGGGTGACCAGACCTGACGAGGGTGCTCCTCTCTCTCTCTCTCTCTCATGTGCATGAACTTACACTCTATCATGCCTAAAGAAAAAAAAATTTAAAGAATAAAAAACAGATTTAAACCTCCAAATATTGAGAATCTTAAAATGCATAAGAAAAATTCCTGCAGTTTGAAAACGTCTCCCTTACAATTCTCCCGTTAAGACTTTGCTTTCTCCTTCTCACGAGTCTCTGCCTCTTGGCCCCTATTTCACGGAGCCAGCCCGTTCCGTTCAGTAGTGGAAGGGGGCACTGGAGCCGTAAGCAGGGCAGGAGGAAGGAGGAGGAGGGGGTGTCCTTTCACAAGACTTCTGGGGCCTTTGGTGGGAAGCTAAGGTTTCTAAGCATCTTGGGAGAGCTGCCAGGCAACTAGAGAAGTCAGTCATTCCACGCAGGCTGAGTATGAAAGCAGAATCCCCAAGGCCTTGCACGCTTCAGAGAAGGTGGGGCTTTATATGCGTTGGTATCCTCGACTGGGCTTCCTTCTGGCCACCAGGCATGCTGTTAGCAAAACGACAAGCAGTCCTGTGATACTCAGGCCCAGGGCCACGGGGACATCTCTCCTGTTCCTGTCACTGAGGCATTCGTCCGCTGTAATTGAATTCAAAGCAACACGTGTCACAAGCGGGCCCCCAGCGTGGGGAAGTGACCTGCCTCTGTCGGCCTCAGCTTCCTAGAGGAGGAGACTGAGGGGGGCGAGGAGCTGCAGGCTCCCACCTGCTGCCTTGGGAGGGAACGTCTGACTCGGTGCACCAGAAACGCTTGACTAAATTGCAGACCCTCGGGCCCCACGCCCAGAAGACCAAGTGGCCTTGAGGTGGGGCCTGGGGGATCCCGGTGCAGCTGGGAGTCAGACGTTGGTGAGAAACACTGGCTTGTTCCAGAGGTCGTGACCAGGGTTCCCTGCTGGTTCTGAAACCAGAGAACCCTGGAGCCACAATCTCACTCTAGAATCAGGGTCCTGAACCCAAGTTTTCTATTCAAATGTAATGCTTCTTAAAGGGGTCACATCAAGAGAAATGCACAAAGAGAAGGACCATACAAGAAGCCCTTTCGCCGGTTCCAGGATCTCATGGAGGAAGGGTTGAGAACGTGAGTCTGGAGGCCAGGGCGGAGCGTCCTCTCCAGGCCTTTGAGCCCCTGTTGCAGTGTCACCGGTCGGTCAGGACTTCTCTAACCCAGCCCTCTGCCATCAAAGCCACGTCAGCCCTACCCTCCTCTGGCTCCATCGCCCTCGGCATGTATGTCTCCCTCAGGCCGTACGGTATGGAGACATGGCTTTCGGTTTTTCCTCCCCCTACCCTCTAGAAGAAAACACTACCTACACCTTTGAATGTCTTTAGGGAAATCTGAAGTGCAAAGACTAGGAAAATGGAAGTGGGGGGGGGGGGCGCCGGGGCCGGAAGAGACA